CCCCAAAACCCCAAAACCCCAAAACCCCAAAACCCCAATAAACCCCACAGAAGTAGAACTCAGCTAAAATAATTAAAACTACCAGCATCATGTCAGAAGTGTCCTTCAATACTAAATTCTTCACACAGGTAAGGTTCCCAGTAGGCTAATCTGGTTATAGACTCTTAAGGAAGAGCCCCTTGATGAGACTAAGAGAAAGACAGTTAATAAACTCAGGTCCCAAGAATATAGGAAGAGAAGGAAGCAATATATACAGAGCTTAGAGCATAAAAATAAACTCCTGAGTGAAGAAAATGTATTGCTGAAGCAAGAAATACATATTTTAAGGAGCAAGATCAGTCATACGAGTGAGTTCTCCTCTGCAGAAGCTGATAGCAAGACCAAAGTCGATATTAGTGAAAACTTCGCATTTTATCAACTCTCTACTATGGTGAAGAAAGACCCTAATAGTGTTAGGTTCAGTCAACTTGCAATGGCAGCTTCTGACACATCAAATTGGAATCCTAATAGAATTCAGGTAATCAAGGATGCATTTAATGATGTGATAAATTACATCATTTCCAAAGATTCCAAGTGTTACGTCTCTGCTTTCAAGAGCATGAAACCAAGTGAATACTTGAAAAAGGTGAATAGCAAAAGATCGTTCAAAGGTAAATATTATTATAAACAAGCTGATCAATAACTCTTCTATTCTAGCAAGATACAAGGAGTTAGTAGACATGTCTCCTCGTGAAGTACTGTTGAACCAGAAGTTATCCGAGCCTATTACCACTTACTTTACCAAATATGGGACTGAATTTTTTAAGAATTTAAAAGATTGAGGAAAACTTGTTAAGAAGTTGATAACTATCAGAAATGAAATCATTAGTAATTCATTGAAAAGAGAGCAGATCCTGATTAACACAAATCTTATTCAGCACTTCACAAAGGATGATTACATCACAATGTGAGAGTTGGTAGGCAAACTTGATGGTTCAAAGTATCTAAAACCTCATTATTTATGGGATATCCCCTCTAGAGATAAAAATTCTGAGGACTATCTAAGCTATTGCTTATCAGAATAGTTAATGGCGTGATTTTTGCTAATTTTCAATTATATCCTTTGAACAAGGGGTTTTGGGGTTTTGGGGTTTTGGGGTTTTGGGG